CCCATTTTCTTTCCGTTTTGGACAAATCCCTCGCAATCTGAGGTAAACTACCCGTTGCTGAAGTAACTGAACTGAAGCTCACATGACTACGCGGGCGCTCGGTGATGACGCACTTTTCACGATCGCGAACTGTGCGCCGCTCTCGTGTTGTCATTTTCATTTAAAATCCGGCTTTCCTCCCACTCCGTCACCGAATCGGCGATCATGGCGGTACCAGCTCCTCAGAAACGCTTTTACCGACAGCGTGCTCATTCCAATCCTATGGCGGATCATGTTTTTGATTAGTGAGTGAGGGTGAGGGTGAGGGTGAGGAGGAAGAGGTTTATTGGGGGTAGTCATCTTAGGTTTCGGGTGCTTTTCAATTCAAGCACCAGTGTTATTATTGAGGGAAATTTTTCAGTGTTTTCAAGCACTGAAAGCAACTCTTAAGCAAGGAGAAAAACCAATAATACCTCAGATCTGGTAGTTCTGAGCCTTTTAATCTGTGTGAATAGCATTTCGTTCTGGGGTGTTGGACATCTTGAAGGCTGTGGTCGTACCTTTTGACTAAAGTGTAGCGTAGGTCACGTTATTTAACTGCACTGTATCACGGGCCATATTTTCTTACTACTCTAACATTGAGGTCATGCTGCAGTCTATTTGAGCGGACCAGTGTTTCACTGTGAAAAATGTATGTACTTTCTCAGCAGGAAATAACTCTTGAGTTCACGTACACAGATCTTTTATTCCCAGTGGTTCTTTTGCTGTGGAAGCACAGGTTTGTCTGTCACTTTCTCAACACTGAAAAGCTCATTGCTGAGTCCCACAAGAAGCTTGATTGACAATGATTAGGATCTAACTCTAATAGCCCAGCAATGCTGCAATGTTAAAATACTCATTTTATTTTCAAATCTCTCCACAGCCTCTTTCTTCCATTTCCCCAGCTGTGTAACCTTTTCCCAGCCTCAACTGTAGAGATATTGAATCTGTTCCACTTCTAGCCTCTTGTAAATTGTGAATTTCTGTCACTCCATTACTGGTCACTTTTTGTCTTCAGTTACCAGATCCCCAAGCTCTGCAATTCTTTCCTGAAATCTTTATCCCTTAAAGATGCTTCTTAAAACCTTCCTATTTGAACTAACTATTGGTCATGTTTACATGTAAGTTTAGGGATGTATAGTGGGGAAAAACTGTCAGAAAACTATGACAATGAAAAGTAAGCTGTTTTCAGATCAGAACTTGATAGACATAAGAATTTCTGCCTTCCTGTTGCATCCTCCAACCCTTTTTATGCTGATCCCAGCCCCAATCTCCCCCTTAGTTATCCATGATATATCATTAACAGGACTTGCCCCTTGAATATAATTTAACATTGACTTATTGTGGACAATCTATATGATCATACCATCTACCTGCCTTTGACCCCTATCCCTTGATACCCTTATAATAGAAGCAAAACACTGCAGATGCTTGAATTTGAAACACACTTAGAGTATGCAGGAGAAACTCAGCAAGCTCTGGCAACATCTGTGGAGAGAAGAACAGAGTTAATGTTTCTAGTCCAATTATGGGACTGTCGAGACTAAGTTGTTAAGTATATTTGAAGCTGAGATGTGGAGTTGAGGATTATCAGATCAGGAATGATTGCATTGAATAGCAGAGCAGGCTTGATGGAGCAAATGGCCTACTTCTGCTCTTGCATCTTATGGTCCAGAAACAATTTTCTCTCGAGGAATTCAGAACAAGGGGATGCGATCTTGAATTTGGACCTCCAGGAATGAAATTGGGAAGCACTTTTCCACGCATAAATTTAGTGGAAAATAGGATTTTTCTCCCACGGAAGGCTGTGGATGCTGATGGCAATTGGGGTGGCATAGTGGCTGAGTGGTTAGCACTGCTGCCAGGGACCTGGGTTTGATTCCAGCCTTGGCTGATTGTCTGTCTGTGTGGAGTTTGCATGTTCTCCCCATGTCTGTGTGAGTCTCCTCTGGGTGCTCTGGTTTCCTCCCACTGTCCAAAGATGTGCAGGTTAAGTGGACTGGCTGTGCTAAATTGCCTACAGTGTTCAGGATGTGTAGGCTATGTGGATTAGATATGGTAAATGTGGGGTTATGAGATAAGGTGGGGTTCTGGGTGGGATGCTCATTGGAGGGTTGGTATGGACTTGATGGGCTGAATAGCCTCTTTCCACACTCGGGATTCTATAATTAAAATTGAGTCAGAAGACTTCAGAATTGTACTGCACTTGAAATGTTAACTCTGTTTCTCTTTCCATAGATGCTGCTAGACCTGCTGAGTTTCTTCAGGATATTGTCCCCAATAGCCTTACCTGATTTAAAAATCTGTCACTTTTCAGACTATAAAGCTTCAACTGAATGGTGTGACAGGCCCATTGAGTCTGCCCTTCCTCTCAATAAGATCATCACTGATCTGATAATCCTCAATTCCCCTTCCTGCCATTTCCCTATAACCTTTGATTCCCTTATTGATTACAAAGCTCCCAGCCTTGACAGCCCTCTGAAGTAAAGAATTCCATAGATTCACGACCCTCTGAGAAGAAATTCCTCCTCCTATGTCTTAAATGTGCGACCCTCTATTCTGAGATTCTGCCGTCTAGACCAAGAGTCTTCCAAGAGAGGAACCTCTGCATCAACCCTGTCAAGCAACCTAAGAATCTTGTTCCAATAAGGTTGCCTTGCATTCTTCCAAACTCCAACAAGTGCAAGCCCAACATAATCTTCCCTTTATAAGATGATCCCTCCATACCGGCAATTAGCCCAGTGAACCTTATCTGGACTGCCTCTGATGTCAATCTATCCTTCCTCTGGAATTGGGGACCAGAACTGTTCACAGTATTCTAGATGTGGTCTGACTAGTGCCTTGTATAGTTTTAGCAAGACCTTGCTATTTTTATACTCCATTCTCTTTGAAATAAAATCCAACATTCCAATTGCCTCTCCTACTATCTACTGAACTTGTGTGCTAGGTTTTTGTGATTTTATGCGTGAGGAATCCCAAATCCCTCAGTGCGACAGCCTTCTGCAGTCTGTGTCCATTTAAGGAGTAATCAGCTTCTCCTTATTCATTGCCAAAATGCATAACATTTTTTTCACATTACTATCCTTTTCCTTTTATATCACTTGCTTGTTTACCTTCAGATTCTTCCCCCCTTTCGTTGGTCTTCTTTCTGTTGTTTTTACTAATTTATCAATTTAAACAACTCAATTAAATCACCTCTCAAATTCCTAAACTCAAAACAATCAGCAATACACCACTCAAATTTCCATGGAGAATGTGCAGTTTGACTTGATCTAGTTGGTTGTAGTATGATTCCCACAAAGGTTATAGATAACAATCCTCTGTGCCTCTCTTTCTGCAGCCCAGTAAAACCTGAAGAGATGGACTGGTCCCAGCACTACCCTGAATATTTCAAACCACACTCAGAAAATTACCATGATGATGAGAAAGATCTCATTGATGAAAAGAAATTGAAGTTCCAGGTGGAGTTTGCAGATATAGGCTGTGGATATGGAGGTTTACTAGGTATGACCAATTCTCTAAACATTCTGTTATCTTATTCTGATCTTTGTCAGGCTGGACCAATCTATTCAAGCTAAAATGTCTGTTTGGTCTGCAAGCGTGACCCTGAGCTTGTCATTTCACTTCTCCATCTTATTCCCTCTCTGACCTTTCTGTTCATGGCCTATTACATGTTCCAATGAAATTCAATGATAGCTCAAAGAATGCCACTGTACCGCCTTTTGACTCAGAATGGAATCTGACAATTTATAAATCCTAATCTCTGCCTCCATTTTGTGTTTCTTTTTTGCTGGCTTGGCTTTTTTCTAATTTCTTTCTTTTATTCCTTCACATTACATTTAGACAGCTGCTGTCCAGCCATTCACACTTCATCTGCACACGTCTTTTGTTTCTTTGCTATATCCATTACCACTGTTTTTGTGATTTGTACCAAGAAGTAATTTATCATTTAATCTCTCCGCTTCACCTTATCAGAGACCTCTGTTCTTCTTTACCCTTTCACTTGCTCCAAACTTGTTTTCTGTTTTTCATGAGTGATAATCCCTCATCAGAAATCTGAAATGTTAACCCTTTTTCTCTCCTAGAGACACTGCCTGACCTGCTGAGTATTTACAGCATTTTTTTGTTTTTATTTCAAATCAAAACATTGTTGTTGAAATCCTAATCTTCCTTTTGTGCCGTTCTGCTTCTACTTGTAAAGAGCCTTCGGATGCCTTTAGTTTGGAAACGCTGAAAAAATTCTTGTGGCTGTACTGATAGTGTCACTGTATAGGATCATGCCTTCTCTTGATCAATTGGGGTTTTTCTTAAATTTTCTTAGACTTTTTTTTTTGTATATTTTTCCTGTCTTTTTTTTTTCTCTTCCCTTTTGCATTAATTATATCAAGTCAGGGAAAGGATTTCAATGCCTGGGAGTGAAATTAAATTTTGGTTACCCAGTTTCACCATAAAGTACCCAGATTGTGTACGAAAGGTAATACAGACTGTAGAGTAAGCATCACACTGATCAAAACAACATTTCACAGCATATTTTTCTAATCAACATGTTCAGAGATATTATTGCACACCTCTGGAACAGATGGGACTTGAACCCAGGCCTTCCAATTCAGTAGTGGGGACACTACCACTGCACCATGAGGGCCTTCTAAAATGTTCCACAATTGCTGTGAGCTGAATAGCTAGCACCTGTGCTCGAATTCTTCGGATGCACCAAGTTTATTGACCTCCATACTCACCCTACACAGACTTCTGCAGTACATATAGTATCTTTGAGAAGCATGTACAACAAGAAGGGGAAAAAATGCATAATGCAAATCTATGTTTAGCAACTTGGGTAAATGATGTCATTGACTTTTGAGCGATACAAGAATAAATAAATGCATGCTGTCAAGTTACTACATAATATTGGGTACAAGTGATGGATTTGTTTCCCATTATGAACTTCCAATACATTTTTTAAATGTTACTTTTCTAATACAAATGTTTTAATTTAACACTGTCTAAAATGTTTCCAAGCTATTGTATTGGAACAACTGATAATTGTGAAGTATCATATGATGCGGAATAGTTGAAGGGCTCTGCTACATCATCCCAGCAGACATTTTTTCAAAAGCTGAGTTATGGTTATTTTTCAAAATATTCTTGAAGCAGTAGCTCCATCTGGTGATAGGAATTTAATGTTGTACTAGAATATTAAACAATACTGTATGTGAACAGAAGTCTTGGGATTTTTGTTATTGCAGTTTGGTGAGAAATCCAATTATGTATCCACTAATTGTTTTTAAATGTTCAAGTTTATTAATGGCTGATGGCAATTTTATTTCTGAACACTCATTGATTTTTGAAATTGTTAAAAATTTGAAGTTGTACAAATGCATTCAAAAGTCAAATACTCAGAAATTATGTTTAATTTCAGCTTTCAATTGGGGTATTCCTTCTCTGCTGTTCTTTCCACTTGCCATTTCAGAAATATCAACTTTTGTAATTTGTCGTCTAACACTGCTGTCATTACATTGCATGGTATAAGGTGTTATGATCCCAGCTAATGATAATACCGAACAAGTCAGATTGCAGAGTAAAATCTGATTAGATAGACCCCTAGTGTTTTTTTTCTTGCAATTTGATTGCTGTGGTGGTCAGTCACTGAATATGTTCACGCAAACCTGCTAATGTACTTACAAGCAAAAGAACACGAGCTTGAGACCAAAAGGGAAAACACAAAGCTACAAAAAGAAATATTCAACCCTTTTTTCCCCAGCAATATCCTTTTTTCTTTTTTTTAATATAGATACTTGACCCCAGTGAAGAATCACTCCTATCTTTGCTCTTTAATTTCTTACTGAATTGACAAGGTTGCACACACTTCCTTTCAGCAAATTGCTGCACATTCACAGATCCAATTGTCTGCGTCTTTGAGACATACGGACACACATTGATGGTTTCTGATTAGAATTCTAAGAAAAGCTGAGGATTTTTTCCAGCCCTGTCTGCTTAGACTACAAGAATAACTTTAGACTTACTTCCAGCTCTAATGGCCTGGAGACTGCCAAAAGTAAGTTGCCCTTTTGCTGGTTATGGGTCTTTAATTTCTGAACAGAACCTGTTCCTAGCCTTGGGCCTCTTTACGACTTGCAGGTAAAAAGCTTAATCAAATAAACACTTCAGCAATTATCTCACCAGGTAGCTTATCTAGTCATTTAGCTAAGTCACATGATTTCTTTAAAAAAAAATTCTGACTCTTAAACAAAAAAGTAACATCCACAGAACTAATAGCCAATAGCCCAAAACCCACTTATTTCTACTTTGGAATCCCAAGTTTCCAAATGATGATATTATAAACCTTCACACAAAGAAAGATGCTTACTGCTGTATTCATCAGTATACTTGTTCAGGATAATAACAAATCATGACACTAGTCAATTGGCAGTGAGCTAAACTAAAATGATTCTGTTTTAATGGTAAAATATCGGGAGAATATTTCACTTAAAGAGAAAAAATTCTCAGATTCAATTGGATTTTTGATTGCACATTGCTTTATCAAAGATCTTTACAATGATTATTGATGTCATACATGTAAAAGAGTTAACACCAGGGAATAGTGTTCACATTGCACTGTAGCACCTACCTCATTGTTCCCTAATTCTTTCTTCCTGATCAATAAGTGTCCTTGCATCTATGACTCTGTCACTCATTTTAGTCAGGTCTTTAGTCAGCACTGGGCTAATGGTAAGATTCTTGGTAGTGTGGATGAGCAGAGAGATCTCGGTGTCCATGTGCATAGAAAGTTGCCACCCAGGTTGATAGGGTTGTTAAGAGGGCGTACGGTGTGTTAGGTTTTATTGGTAGAGGGATTGAGTTTCGGAGCCATGAGGTCATGTTGCAGCTGTACAAAACTCTGGTGCGGCCGCACTTGGGAATATTGCGTACAGTTCTGGTCACCGCATTATAGGAAGGATGTGGAAGCATTGGAAAGGGTGCAGAGGAGATTTACCAGGATGTTGCCTGGTATGGAGGGAAGGTCTTATGAGGAAAGGCTGAGGGACTTGAGGCTGTTTTTGTTAGAGAGAAGAAGGTTAAAAGGTGACTTAATAGAGACATACAAGATGATCGGAGGATTAGATAGGGTGGACAGTGGGAAACTTTTTCCTCGGATGGTGATGGCTAGCACGAGGGGACATAGCTTTAAATTCAGGGGTGATAGATATAGGACAGATGTCAGAGGTAGGTTCTTTACTCGGAGAGTAGTAAGGGCATGGAATGCCCTGCCTGCAAAAGTAGTAGACTCGCCAACTTTAAGGGCATTTAAATGGTCATTGGATAAACATATGGATGATAATGGAATAGTGTAGGTTAGATGGGCTTCAGATTGGTTTCACAGGTCGGCGCAACATCGAGGGCCGAAGGGCCTGTACTGCGCTGTTATGTTCTATGTTCTGCAATACATTTAATCTAGGATTTTGGTGCCTCTTTAAAGCCAATTAGCCCTCCTGTAGCAGAGGTTTGTTATTACTTGCACTTTGTATGACACTACTGTATCCTGTTTAGTCTAATGTAGTTCAGATTAAGTCAAACCTACATTAATCCTTGGAGCTAAGCACCTAAAGATGGTCTTAAGCTGCACACAGCAAATTTTATGAATGGACCTTTTTTTTTTTCCACAGTTGAGTTATCTGGTCTGTTTCCCAATTCATTGATTCTGGGTCTCGAAATCCGAGTGAAGGTATCTGACTACGTCGTAGATCGCATCAAATCCCTAAGGGCATCCAATCCTGGAAAGTACCAGAACATCGCATGTATTAGAAGCAATGCCATGAAGTATTTACCAAACTTCTTCAAAAAAGGGCAGGTACAATGATTTAGTTTATTCGGTGACTGTGATCTTCCCATACTAGAACTCTGGTGCTGAAAATTTCAGAATCCCCTTGGTTGTGTATCATTTATCATCTAATATTTCTCTGCAATCCTCAACACTTTCTCAAAACTCTACAATGATTGTTATTTTCCTACTTTGTTTCTATTTGCAGCTAAGTAAGATGTTTTTCCTCTTTCCGGATCCGCATTTTAAAAAGACAAAACACAAATGGAGAATAATTAGCTCGACATTGCTGGCTGAATATGCTTATGTACTGTGTGTAGGGGTAAGTGTCTTTTCACTTCCATAATTGGTGTTAAGTCTCATTATAGCACCTAATTACAGGCTTCCACTTCATACCCTGGTGTACTTATGCAAGGTAATACAGCAGAATATAGTGTTGAAGGTGCAGAGAAAGATCAACTCGATGTGTGCAGATTTGTACTTGCATTTGGTTTTATGAAATAATTGTGCTTTTTGGGTAATAAGAGCTATTTTTCTGATGTGTTGATTTTTTTTTTCTCTCTCCTTAGGGTTTGGTCTATACAATTACTGATGTGCAGGAAGTACATGAGTGGATAGTCAAACACTTCACAGAACACCCATTGTTTGAATATGTTCAACTAGAAAAACTGGTGAGAATTATACTTATGTACACCTAGATGTTTGAATTGTACAAAAATATACTTCAGAAGTACTTCATTGGCTATAAAGCACTTTGAAATATCTGGTGGCTATGAAAAGCACTATGTAAATATAAGGTCCACCTAATGGCAAGTCTAACTCTTTAAAGCATATAATATATTTCAGAATTCTTTCTTCATCAATCGACACTCCCTTCTATTCAAACCATGTTTTTTTTACCCCCAGGCCCAGTATACAGTTGCTTCATAGGGTTTGACAGTCTTTTTGACTTCTCTCCCAACTTGCTGTTCTTCACATTTTGAAATTGAACAATAAACTTTTGCAGCCTTTCTTAATTTGCCAGCCCCCAATCCTGTCCTTGCCTAATGTTCACTTTGGTGTACTATCCAGCAGGAACCAACTGGGTTTTCTTTTCGCAGTCCTAGTTCAGGGACCCTGAACTAAGGTGAACAAAAGGAAGTGGTGGAGGCTGGATACAATTTCAACATTTAAAAGCCATCTGGATGGGTACATGAATAGGAACAGTTCAGCGGGATATGGGCCCAAATGCTGGCAAATCTGACTAGGTCAGATTGGGATATGTGGTCAGCGTGCACAAGTTGAACCGAAGGGTCTGTTTCCACGGTGTGTGGCTGTATGAATCTATGACTCTGTGCCTATGGGGCCCCTGTTCTAGCAAAGAAGTCAACAGATTTGGAGGAGGAAATTGGCATGAACATTTTGAACTCCATTTGTTTTTGTTTTTTGTTTTGTTTTTAAAAAGTGAAATGATTCTGAAATCGAGATTTTTTTGGCTTTAGTTGGAAATCTTCTATTGCCAAGTTGACCATTTCAGTTTGAATTCTTTGGTATCTGTGCTTTCTGACTTTGCTTCATTCCAGGTGGTGGGACTTTTTTCTTCAGATCTGCTTCTATTTCCAAGGAAATTTGATCTTTAATTTGTTGCAAAATAGTTTGTTATTTTGTGATTGTTCACTGCCACCGGGAAGGAAAATGAGAGTTGTGCCTATGCTACAATTTAATGCACCTTGTAGTTTGCCATTTCAGATAGGGTCAGTGAGGTTTCCTCCTCTTTTTTTTTCATTCTTGGCTATTGGTCAAGTGGGAGGCATCTTTTAAAAGAAACTTGGAATACTTTTTTGATGCCTAATTTATTTCTTTAAACCAGAAGGATGACATCATCATTGATCGCCTTGGTGTCTGCACAGAAGAAGGTAAAAAAGTATTAAGGAATGGAGGACAGAATTTTACTGCAGTATTTCGACGAGTTGAGGATAAAAAACAGAAGCTGAAAATTGAGCAAAAGTCCTGAGAGGAGCACTCCTTCATTTGACTTCACCGAGGCGAGTGACTAAAAAGTGGTAAGCACATATCAATTGGAACACACCAGACCCAATCTTGCAGCTGCAACAACGGGAGAAACTGCATTGAAGGTGGGGTGGCCCACATAAATAAACTGAAAATAACCTCAACAGTAGTCTTCAAATAGAAGTGTTGATAACTGTACATCCTTGCATGAATGCTAGGTATCAACAGTGTAAGTGAAGGGTTTGAAAATTGGTTCCCTAGCGACATTTTACAGATTTTTATTTTTATGAATGATTTGTAGAGTCTGAAATAAGGAGTATAGCATTGTAAAACATTTTACAATGTAAAAAATTCCACTGAAATATGTACATCAGAAGTCTTCACTGTGACTTGTTTGTTTGTTTATTCTCGTTGCAATTGAGAATTGTATCACTTTTTTTTAAGATGCATGCTTCTACATATAGCTTCTTTTAAACTGCTATTTAATTTGCAACAATAATGACACTTCCCAAAACCAATTAATTACTTACTGATTTCCTGAAGCTGTGAAAGGCACTGTAGAAATGCAAATCTGCCTGCCTGTCTTTACATCAGAAGATTTATCAAGCAGGCTCAATGCCATGTTAATAATAACTACTTTTCGCTTCCTTTAGTACCTTGAGTGTCACCTTGCCTCTGATAGCACTCCCCTCTGAGTCACAGGATTGTGAGTTTGAATCCCACTCATAATATAAGGACTGTCGCACTGTTGGAAGTCTCCTCACTGATGAAATAATTATCTCCTATCTTTCAAATTAATATCGTCCATTCAGAGAATTCTCCCAGCGTCCTGGTCAACATGCATCCCTCAACAATGTCCGCAACAGGGTCTTATTGTGAATAATTTCACTCCTGCAAATCAGTACATAAGTAACTATACATTTCAAAGATAATTAATTAAACGTATACCACTGTAGGACATCCTGCAGACATACAAAATAAATTCAAGCTGGTTCATTGGTTTTCTTTTTATTTATTTTCAGCTATGGAATAAAACTAAAATTGGCTAGCTGACTATGGTCACTTGGGGCCAACGATTGAATTAAAAATTCATTTTGATCTTAATCCAAATTGTAATGAAAACAGACTATTTTGACCTTTTTGGCTTTTGAACAGTAGATGTT